AAAATTCCCGCCCCTGCTTACAGCTTTCCTTTGCTTTCCCCAGTGTACATTCACACCGATCCGTTCCACATTACTTAGCAGATATACGACTCCCCCTTCACGGTCTGAGCACCACGGGGGCACGGATGGAGTAGCCGTTCCATGGCTCTTAATTAAGAGCCAGCGGGAACAGATGAAACCATGTCAAGCATAAGATCCCAACACCTCCTGGTCTCCTGGATGACAGTGTTGTTTACTATGCAGCGACGGGAATGTTCTCCACATCTGTAACCAGTAACCAGATCACCGGCTTACAGAGAAGAGCCCTTGACACACAATTCCAGGAAATGTTATGCGTTGATCGTCGCGTGACATGTGGCATGTGTTCTTCATTCATAAAGAGAGGGTGAGCAAACACGGGAGTCTCAAGGGAGGCTTTTTCAGGAACGAGCAAAAGAAATGGGAACACTCCGCGCCACTCACGGGGGGGTCGAAACACTCCGCAGTGTACCAATATCGAGTTTCACGGGGAGCAAAACGCCGTTGCTCAATGACATGAATGAAATGGGGAGGAAAACCATCCAAACAAGCGTGTCGAGACACTCGTATCAGTGGCAAATAGATTGAGCCTGTTTTATTGTGTGGCAGAGGTGATGGCAATGGGCAAAGAGGAAGGAACATCAAGTTCCACTTTCCCCCCGTAGAAACAAGTTGCGCGAGTCATGTCTTGATCGCTCTTCATGCTGATTTAATGTAATTGAGTCGAATGCTACACTTGTTCATTGCGTCTGCAATAGATGATGTTAACTTGTATTTCCGTCTGATCAAACCACCTTCAGAGGAAGCCGTAAGCTGCCCGGAATGTCAGTGTTGCATCTGCATCTCCAGATGTTGCTTTTGGCGCCAACGAGGCGAGAGCCAGCACTTGTACGGCCTACTTGATTTAGTCACGCTAGCGCCGTGGCTCTCTGGGTGGCAACGCAACGTCTGCTGGTGGTTTCTGGATGGATCGCCAGGACATTGTGTTCAGACAGCTGTGACGTCCAGACAATGAATGCGGGCGGACTTCGCGTATTTCACTCAAAACTGTTGGGCAGCTTCGCACCGGACTAATAATTACCCCACGGGTAATATGTGACGCCTCATTCCGAGCCATTATCAAGTTAAAATACTAAGCAGTAATTTCCTTTACAACCAAATCAATCTGCAGCCTCAGCGGTACTCTGTCTTTAATGAACTCTAATTAACAGATGTTCTTATATACTAGTTAACACTATATTTTCAATGCAGTATTGAAGATGACACTACAAAGTAAAATGATGCCCCCCCCCCCAGCTATCTAGCTCAATGTCTTGGAAAATGTGCTTTCTTATCGAGAATGGAAAGATGGATACCTCGCCTGCACAGTGAGCTGCAGCCGGTTAGCCTATATAGCTTACAGGCAACAGGGGTGGGCGGCACATGCTCGTTTCCACATGTGTGCAGGTGACCTGTCCCATGTGACCCGGCTCCCCGGCTTCGCTTCCCTCGTTTTTGTTTTTCGCAGTCCCTGTTTTTGTCGAACATCCTCATTGGTTGTTACAGAGTCAGATGTGGTTTCATTCAGCTCATCACTCACACCGACTGTTACAACATCTGTCTGCCTCTGGTGCCGGGGAGCGGGTCGCGCCCACGCTGTGTGTGTGTGTGTGTGTGTGTGTGTGTGTGTGTGTGTGTGTTCATGTCGTAGAGAAACGAAGCCCCGAGGTCATCCAGCCTGATCAAAAGAAGGTTTTAAACGCGGTTGTTTTGGAAAACATCACAGTATATTAACTGTGTTACTGTGTGTGTGTCGGGGGGGGGTACAAGGTAAGTTATGGTCTGTTTTGAGCTATGCAGCTGAGGTGAGATATTTGTTGGAAAGGAGCCAACTTGCTGAGTTCAGAGGGGTCCTTGTGTACCCTGCTCTGAACTCTTACAACCTCAGTGTGTGTTGTGTGTGTGTGTGTGTGTGTGTGTGTGTGTGTGTGTGTGTGTGTGTGTGTGTGTGTGTGTGTGTGTGTGTGTGTGTGTGTGTGTGTGCAAGGGGGGAACAAGGTGGTAAGTAAATGAGTGAATGAGCTAAAAAACATGCACCGGTCGACCTCGCCTTTGCCAAAGTGATCCCCCCCCCCCCCCCCCCCCCCCCGCCGCCTTACAACTACCCCCCCAGGACTTATTGGCGTGGATGTGACAGTGATAACATGCAGTACCTCACACTTTGAAACACCCCTTGGCTCCAAGAACAAACAACAATATTACAATTAATAAAACACTCTGGATAGTTTGACTTTTGATACTTTCAGTAAGTTTTGCGGTTATGTACTTATGTACTTTTGCTGTATCATTTAGGACATTTACATGGGCGTTATATACCATATACATTTTTTTTATCTAAGCAAAAAAACGACTCCTTCTTTGACTACAGCTCTTTCCGTCACATCTATGTGGTGTCAAAATAATTAGGGTTTAAATATCATGATATTTACACACAGGATACATTATGTGTTATAACAAACTTTTCAGGTTCTCAGCTGAAAGATTTTCTTACCTTAATGCGTAATATATTTCATTTAACCGGTTTTACATTTATTCAACCAGGAAATTCCTTCTGATATTGAAATATTGTACATAAAATTATACAGGCCAAACATTCAAACCAAAATATAAAAAATAATATATAAAACGTTTGCTGAGTGAAATATAGAAGTAAAGATGCACGGAACGCAGGATTAAAAAGATGGGAAACCAGTTCATTCATTTGGTCCAATGTAGAAAATAAAGTAGGGACGCAAATGCACCAGGGTGAAGCGTGTGACGGCTGCTCTCTTGTACCTGTTTTTATCAAAGGTCGATGTGTTTATCCCCACAGCAGCGACTGATGAGTCGGCCCAAACCAGGTTAACACCTTAAGGTCTCACACAGGGTTCACTTGTGAAATACACCCGGGGGTGTAAAGCACAAATGTCTCTTTATGCGACTTAATGTTTCACTCTACCCGTTTTTACAGATCCGTCTAAACGTCCCATTTAAAGATGTTTAAACGACATCACACGCGCATTATTGTCCAGTTGTTTGCGTGTGTGAACGCTCGCTCGGCGTCCACGGAGTGACTGACCTCTCCACAGATGTTATTACCCGCCCATCTGATCAATAACCCCTCACTGCGTCATCACACCAACATGTGTGTGCATGTTTGCCGCCGCTGCCCCCACACTCCTTGTTTTTCGTACTGTATTCAATCGAACCGCATCGACCTTCTCAAGGTCTTTCCCGCCGGGGGACTCTGATCTGTCGCATGCGAACTCTTTGGGCCCCTTCTTGTTTTTTCTTTATTACAACAGAGGACGGAGAGTTGAAAAAAAACAAAGCTGGAGTTTCTCGTCTCTGCCCCACTGAGCGTTTTTGACAATCAGAAGAATATTTAGGAGGCTGAGGCTGCTGGCTGAGGTTTCTTGTAAAAGTTGTGAGGCAGTTAATGTCAATAATGCATCAGTGGCAGTTTATTGGGTGATAAATACTATTTCACCGTAGCGGAAGTCATTTTCTCCAAAAGAGCACTGTAAAACGTTAGTCGCCTCTGTTTAGTATTAAGTTGGGCCCGTGTGGGATTTAACTGCTTTTTCTGTCCGGTACAGTCGACGGGACAAGCAGAGTGTGTTAAAGAGTTCAAAGTTAAGGTTTGTGGAAAAGGAAAAGTAGGAGTTCAGAAATCTCCACTCCAGGTCTTTGGTTGGTGTCACGTGTTCTTCATCAGCAGAGTGAGGTCACTCAGTTGACGTGAATCTGTTGACGACCTCGTCCCATCCATGTTTTTGAAAAAGTCAAAACATCGAAAGGTCCGCCGCAACTTAACAAACTGCGAATGCCGATGAAGACGAAGTGGGAAGTGGGCAAAGGCTCCGGAAACAAGGCGAGTTTCACAAAAGCAACAGAACAAATATGAGATGAGAAAGTAAGAGTAATGATTTCTGTTTTCAAGGTCACAAATGAACTTACGAGTGTTTTTTTTCCTCAAGAGATTTCTGTGAGTTGAGAGTTGAATACCCTGAAATAACGCACGATACCGCTTCACTCCTGTATTCCTGTGTTAAATGATGATTAATATATTATTAACTAACAAAGGGGAAGAGACATTCATATAAAGAGGCTTCAGAAGGTAATCACAATAACATTTTATAGACTTTATTGGTTGAATTGAAACACCAACTTTTCTGTTATTAAATAATGCAAATAGTCCCCGTAATGACAAATTAAAAACATATTTGAATGAAACAAAAATGTTAAATCTTCTATTACCCCTTTAATCTTAAATAAATGAGTACCTTTGTTTTAACTTTTGGAGATGTGTTTATTAAACCGTTGATCAGCAGATCAATACAATACGTAACGTACCCGTTGTCTTTCTTTACAGTGAATCAGTTGCTCAAAGGAACCTGAGTAAAACATGTCCAGGCCTTATCGGGCTTTAGGCTCAAAGGGTCACGGGGTCATAAAAACATTACGTCCGTGCCTTCCATCTATGGTACGAAAAACAAAAACAGGAATGACAAACCCGGTGACGCAAGGTGTGTGTGTGTGTGTGTGTGTGTGTGTGTGTGTGCGTCTCCCGCAGCTCGTTTATTCCTTTTGACCCGAGCTGTGCTCTTTATTAACGGCCCGCAGGAGGAAGTCGGGGCCCTGCGCTCTGCCGACCTCCCGAGGCGCCGGGAGGAGATGTCCGTCTGTTTGTCATTAAAGGGTCAATCTGTCAACATGACCTGATCAAATACCTGTGCGCTTCTTGGCAGCTGCGTGCGTGTGTGTACTTGGGCGGTTGCCCTCCGGTTTTGTGCAATTGGAGGATTTTCTCGGCTCGTCGTGAACCCGCTGTTCCATTCGTTGGACGCGCGCGGCCCGGCGTGTTGCATCACACTAATCAGGCCGCAGACTCACGCTCCTTTTTCACACTCAGTCATATTTGTTGTGCGCATTGTAACTGTATTTGTGCTGCTTCCCTGAAGAAGAGACAAACGTAAACCGAGCGTGGAGATGTTTTCTGAAATAAAGGAATTTTAAAAAGTAAATAGATCAAACTTCACGTCAAGTCAGCGATAACCCCTGACCAGACGGCGGCCTCTTGTCATCTTTCGGATATTTACGGTTCCTGAATGAGGACGAATGGTCATCGGACTGTGGATGTAATGTGTGTTATTTTGAAGATGCTCAAACCACAGTCCTCCCAATTTGACACTTGTTTCTTTCATTTCACCTCTTTTTTAACACATTTTCCATGCTCACCAAGCTCCTGACATCACTGCTTCTTCCTTCTTTTCATCAATTAAAATGGTATTTGATCACAGTGTCCTCTTCATTAGGGAGGCTAACCTCTGTTCATTTTTTAATAAACACAAAAACAGTATAGTATTATCAACAATAAACATACATGTTTGACTTAAGTAAATCTACAGTGTGAAATATATTTCATCACCACCCAGTCTACACCTGCTGTGTGTTGCCGTACACAGACCGCCACACGTTTGCCTCCTCGGCCTCTCAAACGCTGCCACAGATTCAGAATTGCCGTCTTGTTTGTCTTTCAGCGCCGGAGTTGAACTCAGAGCCTTTGACGGACGGACAGAGGACACTAAAACACTGCCAAGTGTTTTAACACAGGCGATAGCGACTTCACCGCCGCTTTCGCAATCGCAGTCTTTGCTTTGGAGCGCTCCCAGGTGTCAGTCACCTGAAACAGTCGCTGCGGTGAAATGTGTGTAGAGGTGAGAGTCGTACGTTTGTGGGTCCGCGGACGTGAACAAAGGGGGATTTAGATGAGCAGAGAGACCGACAGGAGGCCCGTCGAAAGAAATGGACGCTTAAAGAAACTTTATTCACATTTGAATAGCTATTTACATTACGTGCAATACTTTAAAAAAGAGTGTATGTGAACCACGCATGGATCAAACATATATGAATTATTGTTTATTAGTCAGCTTTAGACTTGCTAGCAGGTTGATTTTGATACCTTAACATCAGTGAACAACAGAATAAATCATATTTGAAGTGACGTTGAGACGTGTATGGCTCTTGTAGCAACCTGTCAGTCACAGGTTAGCCCCGCCCCAAAACACACCCAGATTTTTTTTGGACTATTTTGAGAGCATAATTAACCAAATGAACATTAAGCTGTATTGAAGAAGACTTTAAACTAGATTTGTTAAGTTTGGTCATCTTATTTTTGCAGAGGAGTCCCCACCTGCTGGCAGGTAGAGAGACTGTTTAAGTGACCTCCTCGTTGTCTTCACCTTTCAATGCTGCATAAAACAGTGTTTTCATGAAAGCTGATACAGAAGGATCGTTCCTCTGGCCTTTGGAGTGAAAGCATCGTCATTTTAAAATCATTTCAAAGGGTTTATGATCATTTTAAGTTATTACAGCACAATTATTTTGTTTGATTGAAGCCGGCGGAGAGACTTGTTGACTGGTTGAAACCAAAAGCACAACAAAAACACACTTGGGATTGGTGTGTGTGTGTGTGTGTGTCTGTATGTGTATTGTGTATTCACAGCCCTAAAACAAAGCAGCAAGGAGGATCTGCAGCTTCCGGGTGTTGGACTTGGACTTTAAACCTTTAGCACCTCCCAGTGGTAGAATGAAGAAACACACACTGTGAGTGCAACAGTATCCTGATTATATACGTGTTTGTGTAGACTGGAATTTGAATGTTCCTGTGAAATCATATGAGGATTCTATAACTGTGCCTTTATGAATCGCAGCCTCGACCTCAATAATAACAAACGTCCATCTTAAAAACTGCCCAGCGAGGCCCAGTTTCTTAGGCTTCAGGTAAGAATAATAAGGTGTTATCGGCTATATTCATTTGTATAAGTAAAAGTACTTATTATATAACTGGAATATCAGTACTGATCCTTTACCCCCTAATGTCACACCGCGGTGAGATCTAGTTGGGGTTTTCTCGTCTCCGTGCCTTGTCTTGTCATTTCCTGTCTTATTTTGAAAGATTAACCCCTCTCTCGTTTCAGGTCACTTGCCCCTCATGTGTCGCCAGTCGAATCGTCTGCCCTGGTCCCTGATTGTGTCCAACTGTTTCCCATTGCCCTCATGTGTCTTATAGTCTGCGGCTCCCTTTCCCCGGTGCTGGAGGGTACCGACCATTCACCTACCGGGGCCCGTCGCCTTAGACTCGGTGGCCCTCGGCCTGGCCTGGACGATTCTAGTTTCAGTTTATGGATTCAGTTCCTCAAGCCTCTTTGTAGTTTTTGTGTTTTTCCTCCTAATGGAGCGATTTTGTGTTTTTGATCTATTGAACTAAATAAAGACGGCCTATCCTGTTCATCATTCTGCTCCTGAGTCCTCTCTTAAACCCGACACCTAAGTAGTATTCTACTTTAATTCAACTGCCCGGAAACGTATTCAAAGTGTTCACCCACTTTCATTTATACTTAACCCTTTGGGAAATTTAATCAGAACCTTAATTATAGGAATCCGACCGCAATGACTGTGCAGTGAACACTGCCGGTACCAGAAACCTTCCCCTTCCTGACTGAAACACCTCGGCTGCTTCTGAAACGTCAGTGTGGGCAAGCGGATATGGTGTTGTTTTGAATGCTGCTGACACGTTTTCGCTGTTGCAAAGCTGCTCGGGGGTCCGTGAGCAACATCAGCAAGGACCCCAACGGGCCCAGAGCGGGACCGGTCTGTCCCCCGAGCGGGACACGGTGACACGTGCGGGACAATGCGAGCAGGGACAGACGGACTGAGGAACAGAATGTCCCCCCCCCCGGAGCTGTAGCCGCAACACACACAGACAGACACACACACGCACGCACACCACGGTAGCTGCAACTCATTCGGAAACAGAGAGCATCAGCTGTGGAAAATTATATTCTGATTCTCCTGCACTTAATACTCAGTTTCCACTTTCAAAGCAACACATTGTATCATTTTAGTAACTTTTTTTCCTTCTGTGTGTTTGTATGTATATTGGTAGTTATTGTTCGCGTCGCTGTGGTTTGTTGGCTGAGGGCTACCAAACAAAACTTGGTCTTTGAAACTTGGGAGAGCTCCTGTCAACCTAAAATCTTATCAGTGTAAATATGTAAAACGTCAAGTCAAAACTGACAGCAAAGATCAAACACCTCTATTAGGTTCTGTTCGTGGTGTCAACATGGACATTTTAGCCCAATATTAAAATGTCACAAACAATTCAGCCAGAAATGTAAAATATTGGTTTGTTCCGAGACAAATAGATCACTAAATGTTGCATCTATTGTTTAAACTTCTGTGTGCGATTCTTATTGTTCGTCCACACCAGGGTTTAAATATTGAGTGTGTCCGTTTGATGGCGAGGAGTGAATTAAAGAAGCTCTTAAGTGAGAAGAGTGGACGCCGGTGTGACTCGCTGTGAGCTCCTGCTAGTTGTGTTGCACCTCTTGTTGTGTGTGAAGTTATACTCATTTTCACTGGTGTACTTTTTGTGACTTTTCGGGTGAATTGTTGTTGTCCACGCATGTTAAAAAGAGGACGATGTGTCGAAGCTAACCCAACGGCGGTGTAAAACAATTTGAGTGATTTTATTTACTTGCATGTTTTTGTGCATAAAACACGAATGTGATTGGTCAATTTGTGAGAAAGAAAATCACAGCACTTTAAAAAGAATCATTATTCATCAGTAAGTTAAATATTGGCCCAAACTTATAATAAACAACAGTATAATGTGTAAAAGATTCAGAATAGTTAGTTGCATCGACTACGAGAAAACCTGACAATTAGTGTTGCTGCTGAAGCAGTGAGACGTCATTACTGATCATTGTAGCAGTCGAGTATTCATCACAGAGAACTTTAAACCACGGATGAAGAGGAACATTAGTTGATCTTTTTCAGAAATGGTAAATGGACTTAAAGCCCTTTAACACTTCGGCAGACAGAGAAGCCGGGACTACAAGGGTTTTTCCATTATCACAATCCACACCTTGGTAAGCATAAGAATCCAATCAGAAGTGAGGGTTCTTTTGTGTGAGCCGACTTGGCTGAAGCCCAGTTTCTCGTACAGTTGCACAGCAGCCACCTGGGTGGAGCTGGTCTCCAGCACCACCTTGGAGAAGCCTCGCTCCTTACAGAAGTCAACCACGGTCTGGGTCATCCGCCGGCCCAGGCCCACCCGACGGCACGTCGGCGAGATGACCATCCGGAACATTTCTCCGTGTCTTTCTTCCCCACTTTGTTTGGCCACTACGGCCACCGTGCCCAAGATCCGGGTCCTCCCATCAACCTCGGCCTCCGCCACCCAGAAACAGTCGTCCGGCCGGCTCAGATAGTTCCCGGGGATGTCCTGCATGTCCGTCCGGAGTTTCTCCCTGACGTAGCTGGCGTATACCTCGTGGCAGCAGTAGTACACGAGGCCCACCCAGGCTCCCGTTAGCACCACAGCGCCCGACACGGAGCCGAGCAGGCGGCCCGCGACACACAGAGCCAGGGCGACGGCGAGGTTGAGAGGGTTGGTGATGGCGTTCCGGAAACACGGGTGGATGTGCTCCTTGATGCCGTTGCTGAAGAGGGCGCGCACTGCGTCCTTGTCTGAGGGACGGTACTGACGGATCACCGGCTGCATGGTCAAGAGAGAAACTAAGGAACAAAATAAAATAAAAGGATTAAAATGTGAAATCACGCATAATTTTATCCGAGTGTGTTCATTTACTTTGCTTTAGCTGGAAAGTAAAGTAGATGCTTTAGAAAGTATGCAATCCAAATTGACGAGCATTGGCCTGAGCATGTATGAAAGAGTTGCAACTATTAGTCCATCATTTGTTCATTTAATATAAAAAATACCCATTCAAGTAAAGAAATTCATCCATTCCATAACCTGTCGAGTATGAGGACTATTTATTATATTTATTTTCCATTTAAATTGAGTATCTTTGGGATTGGGGCGGAACAGACTAACCACAAAAAAACTCACTGTAGTTAGATATTTATTTCACAATATCTTGGCATTTACTGATGGTGGTCAAAGTCTCACGTTTTGTCTCAGCTCTGCTTCTTCCAGGTAATAATTGTAAGAAGCCCCAAATCCCATTTTTTTTATCATGTAACGTTAATCAATCTCTTTGACAAACCCGTCATCATCATCATTATTATTATTTAGAGTAACTGTACAGACAGCTAATGCAGTTTGTATCTACAGAGTCACAAACAAACCCATGCGTTAGCATGAGCGGCAATGCAACACGTTTAAAGTCACCACACGACAACCAGACCACGTCACTGGCATCGCTCCTCATGGGACATCTGGTGACGTCAGTTTACGTGTCTACCATTGAGCTAACTCACTCTACGTTAGCTCACTCAACATGAACTCACTACACGTTTCTAATCTCTACTTTAGCTCATTCTATGTTGCTAAACTCTACGTTAGCTCATTCTATGTTACCTCACTCTATGTTGCTAAACTCTACGTTAGCTCATTCTATGTTACCTCACTCTATGTTGCTAAACTCTACGTTAGCTCACTCTATATTTCTAAGCTCTACGTTGCTAAATTCTACGTTATCTCACTTCACGTTGCTAAACTCTATGTTTGCTCACTACGCTGCTACACTCTACGTTACCGCACTTCACGTTGCTAAACTCTACTTTAGGTCACTCCACGTTGCTAAACTCTACGTTAGCTCATTCTATGTTAGCTCACTCTATGTTGCTAAACTCTACGTTAGCTCACTCTACGTTGCTAAACTCTACGTTAGCTCATTCTACGTTAGCTCACTCTACGTTGCTAAACTCTACGTTAGCTCATTCTATGTTAGCTCACTCTATGTTGCTAAACTCTACGTTAGCTCACTCTACGTTGCTAAACTCTACTTTAGCTCACTTCACGTTGGTGCGGAACTTCAATTAATTAATTATTTTTTGTGTAACGTTTTACTAATTCAATCGCCGCAAAACGTACTTAAAATGCCGCTCGACGGTTACCGCTCGTCTGCAAACGTTAGTTCCATAATAACATAACGCTTTTTTTTTACTTACCAAGCCTTGAAAAGTTGTGAAATAGTTGCGTGTGGAGAGCCACCACGGTCCAAGCAGCGGCTCGGATGAACTCTGCACATGAGGAATCCCTAAGCTGAAAATTAACTCAGCTGATGAAAGAAGAGACATTTTAACCTTTATGTCGGATCAAAGTACAGCGAAGAAGTTGTATAAGGGTTATAAGTATAAGGCTTGAACAAAGCTACTGCCCCCCCTCCCCCACAGCCTGTGCAGAATTCTGGGATAGATGTAATTAATCATATATTTAAGACATTTGGACTTGCTCTATGTGCACTCTGCCTCTGCAGGCTACAGGTTGGAAGTGGTGACACCACCACCACCATGTAAAGGAATTACCATATTAAAAATCTGACTTTAGAACTAATGCATGCAGTTTTATTAAGAAAAAGAAATTAATTAAAACTAGGCCTCCCAATGAGACACAGGTTATTCCTGTGTGAACCGTGTAATGGTAAAATATGTTATAACATACTTATGCTAAAATATGGTAAATAGTGCATTGTATGGAAAATAAATTAAACAGTTGAATGTTGCCAGGATAGTATTTATGTTCTTAAAGCTGCTATTATTATTTTCTCCTGACAGAATTTCTGCTTTGGTCTTTGTACACCAGGACACCGAGGAAAGCCAGCAAGGGTTACGTTAGCACTGATCTTACATCTTCATGTTGATCAGTCTTTTTCTGATGCAAACCTAAAATCATTATCATCCAAACTCTTTCCAACGGTGAACCTTTATCGCTGCTCCCAATTCGGCCTCGGTCGTAACTCAATTACCTCAGTCCAGCCGTGCAGATAGTTATCCGTCTTTGAGATTTCTGCTGTCGTCCAAGTGCATGAATGGAAATTGGTTAGAAATTACATTTTAAAAATTCATAAGCAATTTTTCTTCCCTGAATATATGTTTTTCTGTGAACATGGACTATGTTTATGGTAAGAGGTGAAAGTGGAAAGTCATAGTAAATCAGTTGTAAAAAAAGGAAGTAATACTCATCTGACGGATGGGCACAACAAAAAAGTCTGATAGAGCAGCGGTTCAAACCACAAAGTATTTTATTCCAATAAATTTTCCAGATGAGTTTCACTTCCTGTTACAAATACAAAACATTACGGGAAGTACACTTGTTTGCAGTTTAACTCAATCACATGAAAACGTTGTTTATCGTGTGCGTCCAGCACAACAGTAAGAGTACAGTATTGAGAGAGTTTAGTCCACTTTTGATTAAAGACAGTGGAACAAATATTATTTGTTCACAGCAGAGAGAAAGTAAAAACTCACAAAAAAGTAAAGACACAAAATACATCTTCAGAAAAAAAGCAAAGCTGAGTATAGATAAAATGGACAAGCTTTGTATTCATCAATACGCCGTAATTTAAAACGAATGAAGGAATCTTCCTTCACTCGTTGCTGAGATTGTTGTCTGTCGACTGGCTTGTCTGAGTCCCTTGGTTTTCTCCTCGACACGCGATGTACTTTCTCCAGAGCTCTATGTACGCTGTCTTGATCTTTTTTATTTTGAACGCATACACGACTGGGTTTACAGCCGAATTAGCGTGCACCAGCAGGATGCCAACGTAGATAGCTATTTCGTGTACAGCATGTTTGCCACTAAAGTAATCAATGGTGTTCATAATGTGGAGAGGAAGCCAGGACAGGGCAAACAGAAACAAGACCAGAGACAGAGACCCCGCCAGCAGTTTCTCTTTCTTCAGGTAGTTCTGAGACGTATTTTGGGGTCTCTCGCCTGGTTTCTCTCGAAGGTTTCCTCGGATGGTGCAGAAGATGTAGCCGTACAATACAGTCATCACCGACAGCGGTATCAGGTTGCAGAGAAAGAAGCTCATGTAAACCAGGTACGACAGGGGCACCACTTCTATAAACTTGCATTCAATAGTCGGGTTGACTGACATGGTGCCATTTTGGTTCCATCCAAGCATGGGAGCGAAACTCAGGGGTATTGCCAGCAGCCAACACGCTGCTACCACAAGGCAAGAGTGTCTCTGCGTTATTGTCCTTTTGTACCTACATGCAGAAAACAAGCAATGATTAGCCTCGCCAAACATGTATGTATTTGAGTGCTCTGACCATGTATGAACATGTTTAACAAAGATCATCTTGTTATTGTAGTTTTGAAAACATACAGACTTTTTCCTGATTTAAAAACACTTTCACTTGCCTCTGCATTCAGGAAGCGTGAGTACGTCTGAATGGGCTCACCTGAGAGGTATATACACCCGGAGGAAGCGGTCCACTGCGATAGCCATGAGACACAAAACTGAGACCAGGGTCAACAGGATGGTCACACAGCAGAGGAAGAGACAGACGTGGAATGAAGTCTTTACTTTGCTGTCCACGAACACCGCCAACGGTATGGCCACGAGGCCGACCAGAAAGTCGGTCACGGCCAGACAGACGATGAGGCAGAAGGTGGGCTGGTGAAGGCTTTTACTGGTCCACAGCGCCAAAATGACCAGTGCATTACCAAGACAGCAGCTAACGGCAATCAGCAACTCCAACAACGTGTAGATCACTGCATTCGCCCCCTTTGCGCTCTCCATCTGGGTGATGTTCGATGGTGAAAGGGGTGACATGTCTGATACGGAGTCTGAGCCTGAATGTGTTCAAGTGAAACCTTTAAAGGAAGTCCACACCCTTTAGAATCTTTTTTTTTGTTTACCATAAAACCACAGTTCTTTAGGTCTGGCAATAAATTTAACCATAGTTCCAATGGTGTATGAGTCACTAAAGAATGACCTATTTGGATAAGTGAGCCACAAAACCACATCCTTGGTGCAGCTTACTCTGCGCAGGGGTGAGTTGCTTGACTATCAAATGCCATGGCTGGAGCTTTATGTTGATTTGAATTACTGTATATGGTACAGTGTAGCTTAACCCATAATAATATACCATAATTAGTATGGTACCGAAACCGGTCTGTTGAATAGTGGAGTAAAGGTACAATATATGCATCATGGGGTGAAGTACATGGCATGCTTTCAGTTACACTGCTGGTTGATAAATAATCATTGGCACCAACTAGTTTTTTTCCATCATTTTTTTTATCTACACATACAACTATTTATGAAAAAAATAAAATAAATATTCTAAGACAACGGAAACCGTTTTACAACCTGATGTAAGCGTGTTCTGTGGTTGCCTAGCAACGGCAATTCCGCAACTATGGAGGGCTTTGTTGCATTAAATGCCGTCATTGGAAAACACAACATTATAAAATAACATTAAATTAGATAAGACGGTAGGCACGATGCCTTTCCTCGTGTCGAGCGTAGTAAAGTGCGATTTTTTGTGTTACGTTTTCAACAAATCGGCGCGACGGACTCGGACCCTTCGGCTTTAGGACCCGGGGGCGCGCGGTGGCCCCAGACACCGGTTGATGAGACGGTCCAGTCGGCATTACGCGTCTAATTACCCGACAAAGAGCGACGGTTCGCTCCGGTCAGTCTCGGGACAAAAAAAATAAAAAAACTTATCAGAAACCGAAGGGTGGACCACAGTAGCGACCGAAGCGAGAGCCCAATTCCCCCTCGTCGCCCTTTTGCCCGTCACCCCGGTCACCGTGGCATAGAAGACCCCGCCGCTGGGTCTCACCGGCGACAACCATGAGCCAGAGATTCACCGTCTCCAAGAGCGACGGAGAGCGGCGCCCCTCGGACATCCAGGGCGAGGTGAACCAGCTGTTCGAGGGAGACGAACCCGCGACCGGCAGCTCCGCGGAGGCGGACGGATCCGCCGCCGGAGGCGAGGTGCTGGTGGTGCTGAAAGGTAAGCGGCAGACACACTTAAGCCGATGGCTTCGATCCACCTGCCGCTGCCCGTTAGCCGCAGGAGGCTGCAGGCTAGCAGACAAGATGCTCTCCTCCTGTGCGGAGGCACGTTGTCTGTGGACAGATGTGTGTGTGACTTGAATGTGTAATGTTCACAAAGGGCAATGACCGGGACGCTGCAAAAGGGGCACACAAGACCCCCCCCCCCCCCCACACCCCGTACTGTGTTTGTATTGTTACTGCCTGCATGCATCTTGATGTCTATGTTGACGAACAAAACGAGGGTGTGTTTTTATTGGATTTCAAATGTTATGTTCGTTGTTGTGTACATTTTATTGTGTGTTTGGTTGCACAGCACAAATCGTCAGTGGCCCCTTTGAAGGGTAATGCTCCACCCTGGTTTGTGTATACTTTCTTATATTTATTTGATCTGTCCATCTCTTTCTTGGTAGGTTCATTGTATCACGGGTCAGGGCCTACAGGTCTATTCTTGTGTTCACCATAATAATGAATTTAATTCAAAAGGGGTAAAAAAAAAAAAAAAAACATAGCTGGTCGAACCTTCATCTCTACAGTTAAATTTGGGGCCCTTCTGTGTAGTCCCAGTCCCGTCTGCTGGGAACCAGAACCATTGGTGTTCAGTCCGGTCACCTGAGTGAAATGATCGAGTTCCTGTCAGTCGTTTTCTGAATTGAACGCAGCCGTGCAGAACAAATAGTGGCCGGAAACTCCCACTAGGCCAAAAAATGGAAGCCATTACCATTACCAATGATTTGCAGCAGAAAGATTACAATCATTCAGGTCCACTGCAGTGCAAATACAGATTTGTCTGAAACAGAATCAATACATTTATACCGTTGAACTTATGAAGGCTGCCTCGTAAATGGCATTTCGAATGAATCACCCAGGCTCCATAGATTCCCATAAATCCCTGCAGCTCTATATTGGCTGCACCTTAGTTTTCCTTCTATGCTTTCCTCTGAAGGCTACTCCATCAACTAAAGTAGCCAAACCGTTAAATATTTGGGTAGAACAGGTCTTTTTTCTGATTTATACGACCACCTTTATACCGTACGCTTCATGGTACTTCCGCCTCTCACTAGATTTATGGAGATGTCATCCCTTTGTCTTCCTGCCGCGCCGCGGTTTTAGCGTCGCTGACAGATATCCGCTATTAAACCAGCCGGCCACCAAGATGAGGAGTGAAAGCTTTTAATTACCAGTCCGAGCACTCCGCTTCATCGCTACAGAAAGCCTCGCGGGTTTAAAAACACGGCGAGCAGTCGAAACAACATCTGCCTCCTCAGCAAATTTCTCCACTCCAATGCCCCCCGCGTGTTTCAATCATTCCCCTGGACATGAACGATGGCTGCGTGGGTCAGCAAGAGCAAAACTCGCCATCTCCTTATGCTCCCCGTGAGGGATGGGGGACGCTTTATCGAAGGACTTCCACTCATGGACAAGATGCTATGTTCTTGCTGAGCTGCAGCCTTGTGGAAGGCTAGCGTCTCTGCATCGGCTTTGCCGGTTGCCATAGCGACGCAGTACATTGTGGTGGTTTTTGCAATCAGGTGAAAACTCTTCAGATCAAGCAAGTACCATTATGAAACTCGCTGTGCCGTGTGCTATTTTCTCTCCTGTTTTTTGTTCGGTTTGGTTTGGAGTTATTGTAGTAGGACAAAAAGATGAACGGTAAGGATCAGGTTTTTAATGATGCTATTAGGATAATGATAGTAATTGTACTGTTGCAAAGGATGTGAAAAACTGAGTATAACAATCATTTTCATTACTGTGCATTTTCTTTACTAACTGTTTGGTTCGTAAGACATTTGTGAAAAATGCAATATCAAAGAATTAAAGTTGACATTAAAATAACACATTTTCCGCAACAACAAATCAATGAAATCCAAACATCTTCAATCATACAAGACAAAACATCTTGACATTATAGAAACTGAAACCAGAGAATAATTGATAATGCGCTTTTTTTCTTGATTGAAAAAATATTAATTTATTCACCTTGCAGTGCATAATGATGGATACATCAGTGTGCGGGAAACATTTTTGTGTGTGAGAATTCCTACAGATCACACGTAAATATGAATATAAATTCCATCTTATTATAAGAAGCGAAACCCATCTCTGAACTCTTCCCCCTTGGACCAGACCCGTGATCCTGTTCCTATTGATCCAGTGGGAGGTGTGAGCTTCAGCCAGCCAATGCGGTTGATGATGACTGACTGCAGTAGGGGGGGGTGGGGATCCTCGACTGGCTGCCAAACGCCCTCTCTGCCCTTGACCTTGCTGTGGTGTAAAGGGATACATCTTCGTTAGACCCGTTGGGCTCAGTGGAATGGCCGTCAGTTGGGTTCGGAGTGGGCCGGGAGCTGCAGTCGGCAAAAAAAAGAGTAAGGCCTTGCAAATGCCGTGTGTCGTTCATAAATCTTCTATTCCCAACATATTCATCACTTAAACCTGCAGTCATTGTTTGTTTTACCGCAGCGGGCCGTAAAAACAGCCGAAGTCATGATGTCTGCATTGACATGTTGCTTATTGTCACGTTTCTGCAGTCGGATCAACTATGACGAGTTCTGTGTCCACCTGATGAATGTACACTAATGTTTTGCTTTGCTTGGTCTCCATTAACTCCTGGGTGAAATATCCAGCTGCTAAAAGCTCATCGGGATTCACCAGCTCGTTGCCAACTTTATCTATCGAACGAAGCTGATGGGAGTCGACCAAGACTCCAAATAATTATCTGAAAAATGAGAAAAAAAGTTCTGTCGAGCGGAATCACCTGGTGTTCTTATGCGGGTCACACATTAAACATTGTATCTTGATCCATTTTGAATATGAAAACAGGGATTTGAGCAGCTTTAAGAGAAGAGTTTATGATTATATTCTCACTGCGCTTCTACTCCAGCTTGCAGACCTCCGTGTGCCTGAACTCTTTAAGGTGAATTAGTTTGCTCTCTTTTTCTAACTCCTCTTTTACTGATGCACTCCTTGCACACCTCGACTCCCGCGGTCTTCAGCCAGGCTGCGATTGCTCTAACAGTTACTCAATTTGTGCAAGTGGCCTGAGTGTGTGTGTGTGTGTACCGGTGGTGTAGTTTTATATCAACAGTAACGAGCAGAAGCAGAAAGGCTTCAGCTCTCAATCACACACTTGACGCCAGTAGCCGCTACCCAATTTGTCCCCGGAGGTTGGGTCCCGTGAGCGGGGGGGAAGGTGTGGGGGGGGACTTGGCTGAGGTTTAATCCGTGTCAGGATGTTCTGTTTCCTTGTCAGCAAATACAGTCCCAAAGACAATGCCACAGCATGGGAGCACGACAACACCCACAGCAGCGCAACCCGATAACCCCACAAAGTCGGCAAAAAACACATTTAGTTTGTTAGTCAATTTTCTAAGACGTGTACAATATGAAGAAATGTCTCTGTGTGTGTGTGTCAAGACAGGAAATGGATTTACAGCATTAACACGATTTCCTATGCCCGTCCTCCCACTGTAATTTAAACGATGTCGCACTCCGTGATGGTTTGTTAAAGGTTACAGCTGCAATCATCGGCCCCTTTTTGCTATCGAGCCAAACACTATTGTCTTGAGGCCCCCCCATGGTTTTTTACTAAAGACGCCATGCACCACGCATTTTTTTCTCCTTTCTAACAAATGTGGTTACATGTGGATGACACGCAGTGTTCTTGAGGCACTGTTCTCCACATATCGACATTAGTAAGTCGGCTAATATCCGTATCCAGCGCCGGCTGCCAGCGATTGTGTTCCCTTGGCTGACCACGCGGAGGATTGTTTGCCGTAATGAACGCCGTGTAAATAACGGAGGAAGCCCTTTGATGCGGAGGTGCAGTCCGATGGCGAGGGCAGATATGGAGTCACAAAGGTCCATTGTGGATGAGTCCCGTGGCGCAGGGTCAATACAGTGGGAAGAGTGCGGACACCTGATTAGGATTTTTTATGGATTATTTATCAACGCCCGGAAGGCCTGGTGTAATCACAGCTGTTTCTCTTCACAAAGGGAGAAATGTGAGACCCAAACGTGGTTTGTGCAAACCTTCGATCTCCTTGTTTGTTAGTGTTAACTCGAGACCGTGTCACCAGTTCTTTGGGTGCACTTTGTCTGCCTTGCCGAGCACATGGTCGAAGCTTGGGAATCTGCACCTTTGCCTTAACTGATGGACCCGTGTGTGTGTGTGTGTGTGTGTGTGGGGGTTGTATCTGTGGTTGGAGAGGAGTTTTCTGAGGCAATTATTTTTCCATGTGATCCAGTATGGTGTGCAACCTGTACCGGGTAAAAAGCACTTTTTTCAAAGTCAAAGTCTGCTTTATTGTCAATTCCTCGACGTATACCAAACATACAAGGGGGCTTCAGTTCAACATATGAAGTAAAGATGAATATAATTAAGAGCAGGTAGATTTAAAAAAACAAAACATTTAGACAACAAAGTATTTTGATGTGTATTTTAGCAGCAGTCAGAAATCTAGCA